CTAGTTTACCTCAGAACTCATACAAGATATCTGCAGACTTTACCACCTCATCTAATCCCAGATGTAACGGACTTTGTGAGAGAGTCAGTGGAGTTTTAAAGAGTATGCTGAAGAAGATGTGCCAGAAGAGACCATGTGACTGGGACAGATACCTGCAGTCAATATTATTTGCTTATCAAGAAGTATCGTAAGCAAGTACAGGATCTTCCCCCTTTGAGTTGCTGTAAGTAAGAACAGTACAAGGTCTGATGCAGATATTGAAAGAGCTGTGAACAGGAGAAGAAGGATCAGAAGTGAGGAACACATACCAATATACTTGTTAGACCCCAGAAACCAACTGGGGGAGACCTGTCAACTCGCTCGAGAGAGCTTGTATACAGCTCAAGACAGTCAGAAGCATTTCTGTGACAAGAAGGCTAAGGATGAAATTTTCAAGGTCGGGCTACCTACACATAAAAAACAACTCACCCTGCAATGTAAATGACCTTTTGAGGTGCAAGAAGTGGTCAACGGAATGGACTATAAGGTGAAAGTGGATGGGAAGACAAAGATCTACCACGCCAATCTGTTGACGAGGTACTTTGAGAGGGAAGAAAACCCAAAGGCACAGATGGACTTTGCAGGTTTGGCTGTTATAGATGCAAAACCAGAAGACGGTGATGTTGTTATAGTAGACCTAAAACCTCTGGGTGGAGGTGATATGTATATGGACATCATTGTAAATGAAGAACTGACTGGCAAGCAGAAGAAAGAGCTACTGTGCCAGTATGCAGATGCCTTCACAGATAGACTAGGCAAGACAGATCTTGTGCAACACAAAATCGAGGCTATGACCAGGGATCCAGTCAAGGTGAATCCCTACCAGATGCCATATGCAATGAGAGACCAAAAGGGAACTGCAAATATTGGTGCAGATTGTATGAGGAGACTGTGTATGAAGTGTATGAAGAGGGGCTAATTGTTAGATATACACAAGTGTTCATTTTAAGTTTAATACGAGAGTAATGTTTAGTTTATATTGTGTGTGAGCAACAAAGTAAGTTATTTTCAGAAGTGATAGTTATGGCAAGTTTCCTTACGTAATTGTTTACGAACCATTTGTTGTGGAGTTCAGTTGTTGTGAATTGATGTCTCGTTACTCGAACCTACTGAATTTTTCTCATTGCTTTAAGTTAGGATTGTTACATGATAACATCTTGTAATTTGTAGAAAGTTCTATGCCTCAGTCGGGCAG